CCTCCGCCTCGAGGCGCCGTGCCACAATTTTTTATGTTTCCGACAACAGTAAGAACAAACATAGATAGGAAGGCTTCCTTTTATTTGTAATTGTTTATTATTTTTGGGGGACTATACAGTTGGTATAGTATACATGTCAATATACAGAATGTTACCATTATCAAAAAAGAAAAATGACTATCTCTACAACCGTTATTCAATTTTTATTGCTTCTATTCAATTTTAGTCCTCCGCATTTAACTTATCTAGAAAAACAATTAAATCCTGTGCATTTTCCCGTAATCTCTTCAGATAGGTTATTAGAAAATAATATGCTCAAGAGTTAAGACAGTAACTTCATCAGTATAACAGCCAGCTTCTATTACGGTGAATAAAGGCACCAACGACTGACATTCAAGGACTGTATGATGACTTGTTATAGGGATTTTCATATCTAATATCAATAGAAGTGTTCACCTGTTAACTGCCCACAATTACCCAAAGTTTCAAGCAACAGTATTCCAAAACATCATTTGAGACGAAATTAGCTTGAATGAAGTTTGCCAGCATTGATAATAATGTTGTTGAGTAATGGCTTCATTCAAATTCCAACCAGACAGAAACAGCCTGTGTCGCTACTTGTCCTTTCCTCTCAAGTAGGAAATTTGGCATTCTGTTGAGGCAAGTTGTGAATTAATAAAGTACAACAGATAACAAATTCTCCTATTCGGATATATCTTTTGTTGCAAAGAAGTTTGAGCAGTAGAATTGGAGCTCTGTCAAAGCCAGTCAAAGAGACAAGACAAAAAACAATGAGTAAACCAAGAGTCCAAGACAAAAAACAATGAGTAAACCAAGAGTTGTTACGTTCCTTCCAACCTCCTCTCTTCCAAACCCCTCAAGTCCAATTTTTCCTTTTCCTTATTGCCCTTTATTGATCTTAATTTCTGCTTCTAGGAATCTGCTGCTTCTTTGTGCATTTTAGGTGCCAGTGTCTTAGTATAGAACCATATAGACAATCTTGCCAGACTATTGCAAGTGTTGGTATGCGAAACAACAATTTTTCAAATTCCCTTACACAAGTATTTATTCCATATAGGGCTCACTCATATTTTACACAACAATATCAATATTAAGAGAAAAACCATGTTGATATATGCCAGATCAGAGAATATAAATGGAAAAAACTCATAAAGATTGTTTATGCCTCTTATACCACTTAATCAAGTATATCTTAATACAATTTTAGAAAAACAATGAATCAAACTAGAAAATCACCTGTCTCAGAGATGGTCCTCCACAGCTCATTGTCCTGGCAAGAACGAGGAGTATCAAACTGTTTAATGTCAAGCTTTTTGTTAATAAACCCTACTTGAAAGTAAATATTCCCAGACGATGGCAAATCCACACGGATCTCATTCACACTGTACCACAACAAAAATCTCTCAACTTTAATTCCATCTAAATCAGTAATCGATCCAGTAACCTTGTCAGGGTAATAAACCAAATATTCAAACTCCACATAACAAGGCTTCTACAGATAACTTCAAAGGTTCCATCATCAGAAAGAGAGTAAGATTTTACAGAGCTTGGTAAAAGCCCTTGAGGAAGGCTGAATTTTGTGAGGATTTAGTAAACAGTTGTGTTGGGGTTGAATGAAGTTTGCCAACCTTGATAATATGGTGTTGAGTAAAGGCTTCATCCAACCAGATAGAGAGTAATTCTCTGAGAAGGCTACCATCATTTTTATCTTTAGTTAACATTACCTAAGGGAAACAACAATTCTCTGAGAAGGCTATACCATTATTTTTATCTTTACATTAGCTAAGGAAAATAGCCTGTGTCACTACTTGTCCTTTCTTTCAATAAATTTCTCAGAAAATTGACATTCTGTTGAGGTAAGTTCTTAATTAAGAAAGTAAAACAGAAACTATGAGTAAAACCTAGAAAAGGAGGAAGCATCCAGATAACAAATTCTATCTATTCCTTATTTATCTTTTGTTGCAAAGAAGTTTGAGCAGTAGAATTGGAGCACTGTCAAAGCCAGTCAGAGAGACAAGACAAGAAACAATGAGTAAACCAAGAGTCCATGAGTAAAAACAATTTCTCTACAATAGTACAAAGACTTGCAACAACTGGAAATACAAGAGCATTCATGGGGAACAAATTAATGCAGCTGAACAAGGAAATTAACTAGACACTACAACACCAATTATTTACTCAACAGAAACGTGCCTGGCTTGGAGAGTTACACTCTTGGTCCTGATTTGAATCACAGGCCTCGAATACTCCTCGGGGAAGAGACCGGAGATGATCTAGATTACCAGCTGCTGCATTTATTTCAATCATCAACATCTCAACAACACCATTTTCAGCAAGAAACGCCTCTTCTATGGCAGAGCGAAGATCAGCAGGCGTGCTGTCGTTCAAGTCAGTCTGCCCCTGCAACCTAAACAAAGCAAAGTTTCACCACACCCAGACAATACCAAAAATTTATATCAACATTAAAACTGTCACAAACCTGTCTACATGTTCCATAAATGGAAATAGCATCCCGCGTCTAATCCATGCATAATCCTGTTCATGAAAATGTGTCATCTTAGTAGATACACCATACGTCATACTTCTATCACTTGGATACTTTTGCATAGTGGGAGTTTGCTCTGCATAATGCACAAAAGACAAGTCTTACCCTTTGCGTGCCATTTCCAGAGTAGCCAAAGAACATGACACATACTGTTCCAGCAACACGATAATTGAGGAGCTTGTGTTTCTGAATCAAGTACAATTGCCGGCCAAGCAGGACAATGTCCCCAAACTATGTCACCTGAATTAAAACCCTCATGACCAAACATATAAGCTCTCCTCCCTCCCTCCCGCTTCACCATTGCATCAGTTCCGCTTAAATCTATAGCTTCATCAAACTCCCCATCAAGTGTGTTGGCATCTCCCAATCACTCGTGTAATGATGTTAATGTACTGCAGGAAGTAGAATACGGAATACTATCTAATCGCTTTGACCCAACCTATCGCGTGGTAAAAAGAAGAAAGTACGAAAGAATAGTAAACGGAGCACACCGCAGAAAGATTCTAAATATGAGAAGTCCCCCCTTGGATTCGAGAAGAAGGAAATGAAGAACGGGAACGAAACGAAATAAAGCGTTTCCCATTATACCCAATTTCTACTGTTCCATCGGGCGAAAACACACAACATTGGTAATTTACCCTGTCATCCACACGCTTCTTAGTTCCAATTTCACGTTTGGTGTTTTTCAAGCTACCCTTTTCTCTACACGGATTAAATTCAGGGTCCAAAGTTGATTCTTTTACAGTAGTTTTACTCTTCTCTTTCTTCCAATTATCGAGAACAGAGTCACTAAATCTAGACGGAAGTACCTGAAGAGACACAACAATTATTTATTCCATGAAGGGCTTACTCACATTTTACACAACAATATCAATATTGACCATCACTGAAGAGAAGAACCATGTTGAAATATGCGAGACCAGAGAATATTAATGAAGAATACTATCTAAATACATTTTTAGAAAAACAATACATCAAACAGAATGGAACTTGAAAATCACCTGTCTCAGAGATGGTCCTCCACACAAGGCCAAACAAGAATGAAGAGTTTCAAGCTTCTTGTTAATGAAGCCAAGTTGATGGTAAATACTCCCAGACGATGGAAAATCTCATTCACATTTAACCATAAAGAATACCTTCATACAATTTAGAAAAAATTAATGAATCAAACAGAATGTAACGTGAAAATCACCTGTCTCAGAGAATGAAGAGTTTCAAACCGTTTGATATCAAGCTTCTTGAATGAAGCTTAACTTCAATCATCCACACGGATCTCAATTCCTTCTAAGTCAGTAATCGACCCAAGACTCAGTTACCTTCTCAGCATAATAACCCAAATATTCGAACTCCACATAACCAGTAAAACTCCATCATCGGAAAGAGATTAAGATTTTACAGAACCCTTGAGGAAGGTTGAATTTAGTATACAGTTGTGTTGGGGTTCTTGGGTAGATTGAAAGATAGGGAAGAAGGAGATGAGAGGAGATTGAAACCCCCATAGAAAGAGGAGGAAGAGAAGAATAGTCAGTTAAATTGAAAACCCTCATTGTTCTTGATGCCTCCAGATATATACGGCAAGTGATGCTATGAGTGGATTGAAAAACCCCATTGTTCTTGATGCGTCCATATAAAGAGAAGAATAGTCAGTTGGATTGAAAACCTCCATTGTTTTTGTTCTTGTTCTTGATGCCTCCATTGAAGGAGGAGTGAGTATATATACTGAAAGGAGGAAGAGAAGAAGAATAGGTTGTGAGTAGTTGTACATAACGGTAAAATACGTGTATGATTGGCTGCTTATTGGAAATTGAACGTTATAAAATATGTATTCAAAATTTCTATTGTGTCTTAATAAAATAAGGTCCTAAGTGGAATAAAAAGTATTAATTAGTTATTTTTCTTACTAAATCAAAAAAATATTAATTAATTTTTTTGTATATTACCCTTGAGTCTAGTTCTTTTTAAAAGTGTTCATATTTGTTTCTAAATTCCCAAAAGTTTTTTAAGGAGTGAATTAGTAAAATTATATTCTTTTTTTTGGCAATAAAATGTGAATATTACCATACAACCAAAACACCTCAACAGTCTTTACATTCTACGAGCATCTAGTGATCTGAAGATTATTCAGGGTCGATCTAGACCTCCATCGCACTTACTAAAACAAAATAAGCAAAAAAGAAAACAAAACCTATATTAATTACTAATTCTCTGTATCAAAACTTGGCACCTTCTTGCTTTTCGAGATCCTATGAACAAACTCACCCTTTCTCTGATTTCCTTTTGAATCTGTGTCGTTATAAACCTTGTGTCTACATTCAGACCCCTGTACACTCTCCAGTTCCTTGCTTGCCATGCATAATAAATCAAGGCTCCATATAATGCAGCTGCTAGTTCCTTTCGAAATTGTCTCCATTGTCTATTCTTGATCCATCGCATACAATCCTCTACATTTTTTGCTGGAATTGGAATGCCAGCCCATCTACTCAACGATCCCCGAACCTCCCCGATCCAATTGCACTCTCCAAAAAGGTGTTCCTGGTTCTCTGGTGTAGCCACTGCACACAAGCAACAATCAATTTATATATTTTTAATAGGTGTGTAAAAAGGTAAATGATTAACAAATATGTGACAGAAGGAATAATAATTGATGGTCAAATATGTTTTTCGTAGTTCAACTTTCAAAAAAAGTGAAAAAAATTTCATGATCAAATGCGTCCGAAATTAAACGCACAAGAAGTCATAAGGTGATGGGACTATTAGGTACTATTCCAATTGTCAAAGAATTTGTTTCTCCCTTATTAACACCTGAACATGAGTGTAAATCTTTTCTAAAATGAACACAAAGTTATTGACCTGAAAAATAAAATTAGTTCATTCAAAAATTTGTTAGCTTTAGCCATAAGCAGCTCATATGGCAAAAGACTTCTATTTATAAGATGTAAGCTCTGGAAATATACCTCAATGACCCAAATTTCTTTGTATTTGAAGGTTATGAGCATGACGTTAATGCCCTTCTTGATTGATGCAGTCTCTCACGATAATAATGTTGATTGTGATGTGAAGTGTTTCTCAATTAAGTTCAAACTTGTGGTGAATTTGAATCAACCAATCAATCAGAATTGCTCTCATCTTTTCACTGATCTCGGGTTTTGAATCCATATAATTATGAACTCTTTAAGTCATATTTTTTATATTCAATATGAATTGTGTTGAAGTTTGCTTTTAGTTACTGCAGTAACTTTTAGCAAAATAAGTTATTTAGTTTGAATAAATTTGAATTTTGAATTTTAGTTAGTTTGTTTATGTTGTTGAGATATTTTAGGTTGTTTAAATTTTAAATTATGCAGATTATATGTTTTATGTTGGCTATTTAAAGCCCCTCAATGCTTAATAAAATTATTGAAAGCTATTGAAAGTCATTTCAATCCATTGAAAGAAATTTTCAATCTTTTTGTGCTGCCCCATTTTTAAAAAACACCACACCACCTCTTTTCCTTGCAACTTGACTCATCCAATTCACTTCATTCTCCCAGTCTTGTATTTGTCTGCTATGCCCCATCCATTGTAACAACCTCCTCCATATCATCCTGGTCACAGCACACTCAAAAACAAATGTGAGAATGTTTCTAGGTGTTGCCCACATAAGGCACAATCAGGGGAACATTGATGCCAAACTTTTGCAATCTCTCAACTGTTGCCAGTCATTTCTGTATAGCCAGCCATAGGATAAACTTATGTCGAGGATGTATCTTTGGATGCATAGCAAGATGTTTCCAAGTCACTTTGGGATGGACAGGCATTAAAGTGACATACATTTTATGGATTGAAAATTTTCCTCCCTGCTGAGCATCTCCAAGTTGCTGATGTAGTGTTCCATGGCTTTGTAGTCTAGTGATCAGTTGATGTCAAGATTCCAATACCTTTCTCACCACCCAGGAAGCATTTTTAGGGATTTGGATTTGAGCAATATGTGCACCCATGGAACCCAAAGGCGGTCCTTTTTCCTGTTTATATCCCACAGTAGCTTTAGGATTGTTGCTGAGTTCCAAATGCAGAGATTCACTATATTTAGCCCACCTGCAACCCCTGGCGCCATACATTAGTCCAAGACACCAAAGCTTTCTTGGATACTGTCACTGCACCTGTCCATAAGAATGTTCTGCATAGTTGCTCAATTGTTTTCATGACCTTCTTAGGGATGAGAACAATCTGACCCAAATAAGGTTGAACCCCAAAAAGCACTGCTTTAATTAATTGCATTCTTCCAGCATATGACAATAACTTGGCTGACCAGCAAGTAATTTTGGTTGTGATCTTCTCAATGAGTGGAAAGTAAGCAGCAGCAGTCGATTTCTTTGAAAATAGGGGTACACCAAGGTACCTAAAAGGTAGAGTACCCACACTGAATCCCAATGCTTCTACAATGTCTTGCTTTGTTTGATCACTTGCTCCAGCAATGTCTATGGAGGTTTTGTCATTATTTGCGTGCAATCCAGATGCCTTAGAGAACTTCATGAAAGAATCATGCATTAATTTGATAGACACAATGTCAGCCCTGCAATACATTAACAGATCATCAGCAAAACAAATGTGTATGTTGTTCAGTTTTTCACACCTAGGATGATAGTTGAAATCTCCATTTAGCACCAGCTGGTTGAGTTCTCTTCCCAGGTACTCCATAACCAAGACAAAGAGATAAGGGGACATAGGATCCCTTTGTCTAATGCCCCTTTGTGCTGGAAATGGGGCAGTAAGTCCACCATTCAATAACAAGGAATAAGAGACAGTAGACACACAAGTCATAATCCAGTGCACAAACTTAGCAGGAAATCCCAAATCACTCAGCAGCTTCTCTATAAATTCTCATTCCAAAGTGTCATAAGCCTTTCTCAGGTCCACTTTGAGCACACATCTAGGGGATATCCACTTCCTGTTATAGCTCTTGAAAATTTCATGGTTGACCATGATGTTATCCACTATACTTCTTCCTTCAACAAATGTTGATTGAGCTTTACTAACCAACCCTGAAATCACTAGCTTTATTCTTCTTGTAAGAACTTTGGAAATGATTTTGTACAAAGTGGTGCAGCAAGCTATAGGCCTGTAATCTTTCACTTTGGTAGGTGCTGGAACTTTAGGAATCAATCTTACAGCTGTGACATTGATAGCAGGATATAGATTGTCAGTGTGAAAGAAATGTTTAACAGCTGCAATAACATCATTTTGGACCACATCTCAGTTCTTGGTGAAAAATTCAATTGGATATCCATCAACTCCTGGAGCTTTATCTTTGGGCATCTCTTTAATAGCCTCCAATATCTCTTCTGTGGTGACCTCTTTAATAAGGTCTCTCTATTGTGAGATAGATAGGCAATCTCCACCTCTAACCACCTTAGTATTTAAACATGTCAATGCAGATGCTCTAGTCCTCATCAGCCCCTTGAAGACAGAAATAAACTCATCTTCTATAATCTTAGGTTCTGTTAGCTTGTTTCCTGCTTCAGTAAATATGGAGGAGATGGTATTGTGGCTGGTTCTAATCTTCCACTGAGCAAGAATGTATTTGGTATTGTATATCTCTGGCAGGACTAAGAGACTCCTAGAAAGCAATGGATTAAATAAACATTTACATAATTCTAACTAATTAGTATCACTAATATTAATACTTTTCTTTTATTGTGCGCTATTTTTCATTAAGCGTGCATGGGTTCCAAAAGAGTGTAGGTCCTCCAAGATAACTTCTTTCCATGTGATTTTGGGGTTTAATTCGTCTCTCTGAACACCTACACTCACAATGGTTTCACATCTTGGATCATGTATATGTGGAGGTCCACTTGGGACATGAACCAAACATTCTCAACTGACCTTTTCTCGTTTTATCCTTTGTGTGCTACTTGCACCTGATCTGCTGTATATAGTTATTTTTAATCTTTTCTAGTTTTCTTTGACAACAGATCCATTTTAGCATTTGCATCTTTTGGACACTACACTCATCTTGTGAATATGTTGGACTTCAGAGGTCTACAGATTCACTCCTGTATGACAATTATGAGCTCGCAACCATTTGTAGGATTTTGCTTTCACTTTGGTGTACATATCCTTAAAACCTAAGATTCTTATAGAGTTTCTCTATTTTAACCATTCTACATGAATATATGTGTAACATCTTCATGTATCGTACTACTTTTCTAGAATATCCCAAGAAATTTATACAAAGTAAAATACGATAATAAAAATGGAGAATATCATAAACCCACGGCTTATCAAATTTCCCATATCTCATGTAGCTTAAAACTCCTCCATGAAGAGTCCTCTTTTATATTTCTAATAAACACAATTCAGTAAGCGTTTTTGTCTCTCTTTTCATTCCCAAACCCCACTTGTGGTAACACTTGGTATGTTGTTGTTGTTGTTGTTTTCTTCCCTCCTTTTTCCCTACATAGTATTAGAGTTTGTGACTCACTAGCGCGCGGTCATATGCCATCTGTGCTCAATTTTTTTTCTTTTGTTTGACAAGTGCATTATTTGTCTCTTTCTGGGGGTCATTCTAGGGTGTCTTTTTGGTGATCATTTAGTGACACCATCTTGTCTTTAGCATTCTTCTGACAATTTTTCAGCATTCCCGGAAAATTCTTCTCTTGTTCTCTATGATATTACCGTCTCCACAATTTTGATAGAATTCAGTAGCTTTGCTTATGGGCAAGAGCTGCCTGTTCGGTTTGGATTTCTTGTTTTCATAAGTTTAATATGAAGCAAAGAATGACTATTATAAATTAATGTCTCTTTCTTGTGACTATTGTGGAGGCACCACTCTCCTAATGTTCATTCTAATGTTTTTCGTAATTTCTCCAGCTGCACCTCTTTTTGTGATCACTGTGATGGGCTCTCTTTTTGCGGTGTTTCCAATCATTCTTACAGAGTTTTCAAGTAAAAGATTCACTTACTCCCTTGATGATGAATCTAAGGTCTTCTAAATATTGAATTTTTGATCACCATTCACGAGAACATATTTTTATTTTTAGTTTTTCTTTATGGTGTCATAGCTTGAGTATGGAGTCATTTGTTTGAACATTGAATTTCCGGTAACTTGTTCTCGGAAGTTCTTTTCTTCCTTTTTTATTTAAATAGAATCGAACCTAATTATTGAGTCCTTTGAGTATTGAACTTTTAGTCATCATTTCCGGAGAGCATTCTTCCTCTTTCCCTTTTTATAAGGTATGTAATTTTATTAGTAATGGAAAAAACCTCCACATACAAGTAATATGCCAAAAAGTAGAGAATCTGCCGCATTATGACCATAGACGACACAATCTTCTATACAACTTCAAGCCTCATGGGTGCACCAAAAAGAAGCTAGAAATGAGAGGCTATTCCTCAAATTTAATAATCATTCTCTATCCAGTCAAACGTTCTCCTCCTGTTTCTTTCCTTCCAAAGGACCCACATGAGTGCTAGCTGGGCAGCATCCCGGGCTCTCCGATTTCTCTTCTTAGAATCCTTCTTCTTTTCATCGAAGTTCCAGTTATTGTTCAGGAACCTTTTTTGGGTGTCATTCTTCAGCAACCAATTTGAGCTATGCTGATAATTTCTAGGGCATTTATGTGTGTTGTTTGCCAGTGATTGAAAACAGATACTTTTCTGTATATGCTGCAAGAAACTTTCTTTCTATGTACAGGGGTCTGCGTGCATTATACGTTACCTTTTAACTTGATTTCAATCTCAACAAAGAAATGAAAGCATAACTCTTTGCTCACTTGCATTTTCAGGAGAGAAAAACTGCTGACCACTTTTCTTCTGGGTGATTCGTTCAGTATTCTGGTGTATTTTTCACACGTCTGTTTAATGTTCCATTTACATTTTAGTGTTTCGTATTTGAGAATAAGCAAATTCAAGTTGTTTTTCTACTTTGGGTTTAAGTCATGTATTTAAATTTAAAGCAAAGGAATTGAATAATTATATATGATATTTGTAGCGATTTTGTTTTTGTTCAAAGTCGAGAATCATTACGCCTATTATTACAGTATTTTTACTGATTATGTCATAATTGAAAAATACTCAATTATTTTTTAAAACATCATATTCCGTGAAGTTTTAAAGCTCTTACATTAAGAGCCTTCTTGTATATTTGATAAGAACAAGGTTAACTAGAGTTTTTCTTTTCTAATTTTATTTATAGAATGACTAATAACTTACACTTGATAAGTGGATTTTTTTCGTCTACGAATGTGTTAGTCGGATGACATATACTGAGTTGGAAACAGTGGCTCCATTCTTAGCCAGTTCCGAAAAGGTTCACTCATTTTGGAGGGAGCATCCCCGCTTAGTGATTGGTCAGCTAGTTCACACAAATCCAGAGAAACTATCATGGACGAACCACATGCAAGGAAACCTACATGCTTGGCTCTAGTGGATAGGCTAGTGGTGAGCTTGGCTACAATGTAAGGGCCTTCTACACTTAGCCATATGCAGGGGAACTTGCACCTCCGGTTCTTGGGGGTGGGGTGGGTGAGAGCTAGTAGGAGCCATCCAAAACTATCTGCTGCAAACTAAAGAACTGAATTACCTTTAGCCGATATCATTCAGTTGAGCCGGGAACTGCTGTTTACCAAGGCAAACAATGGCAGCTTTAATGGCTATAGGCTATAATTCACAATGAATATGTTTCTAGAGTACAGGATCTAAACAAACATTGTAATTGTGTTGAGAAATTCATTAAATATGTACCCACAATAAATTTAGAACCCAATTATTAGCACTTAAAGACGTTTTTCTAAGGTCCAGAACTCATAACTATGAAATCCTGGATCCCGCCTTTGGCACTCCTTTAATAGGAAATGTTGTGGTATACTTGTGCAACAGTTGCAACTTACTGGAAAACGCAAAGAAAAATGATTTTTCCCCTTGCACACCTGTTTCAAAGGGAAGAATGTAAATGTTTTTAAGGCCTAGTGGGCTCTTTTTTATCATTTTTTCAAGACTCATCTTTTGAATGTGTTGCTAATCCGGGGTGCAGGGCGGGGTGGCAAGGAGGGACTTGCAGTTAGGTTTTTCTTTGTCTTCTTTTATGTCACACATTTTTGTAATTTCTATGTCACCCTTTTGTCAATATTATGATCCTCAGTGAATGACTTCATGTATTAGTTTTAGATTGTTTGCTCATCTATTTTAACTCTCTTGGAGACTGAAATTTGAAGAATTTCCTGTTGTTTACCTCTTCGCCTGCAGTTCGCTTGTTCAAGCATACAACATCTAACACCATTGTACTCACTGGGCTTTGTGGAAGCGGCAAAACATATCTTTTCTTACCAGGTAACTCTTTGACATGTGACCTGTATAATCTTTTCAGAGTATTATTGTTCTGATCTTTATGTGCTGGCATATACCAGCTTAGAGATGGTTCAGCCCATCAGGGTACCGTGACGTCAATGGAACCATATGTAGGCAGTTTTATACTACACTCTGAGGAAGACAAGGTAATGAACATTGTCTTCTCTTGTTTCCCCTTTTCCGCCCTACCATTTTACATGCATCCTTGTGATCTATACCTTTAGAAGGGAAAAATGGATCTTATTAATGTCAATTTTCAGCTGAATGTCTCTCAAAGTGAGAGAGTCTTTCTATTATATAGAGAAAATAAAGATTACACATCCCTAAAGATCCGCCATTCCTATCCCTAAAGATCATCTATTCTATCTATACAAATCTGCCATTGAATCCCTCTAAATCTGCCTTGCTATCCCTCCAAATCAGCTATTCTATCACAATATTTATTCATATGATTCTACAACAAATGTATATGATCATGCTAATTTATATCACTATATAATTACATTAATATATACAATCATTTAGTTGTCTATCATGCTAACATCCCCCCTCAAATTGATGCTGGTGGATCAAGAAGCATCAATTTGCCTACTAGAAACTGATGGCGTTGCCGTGCCATGGATTTTGTAAACGCATCAGCTATTTGAAGATCACTGGACACATGTGGAAGAGTAATGACTCCTTTATCTACAGCTTCTCGTATATAATGACAATCCACTTCGATGTGTTTGGTCCTCTCATGAAAAACTGGATTAGTAGCAATCTGAATAGCACTTGTATTGTCAGCGTGGAGAGGAGTAGGATGAGATTGGGGAAATCCAATCTCAGCAAGTAATCCACGAAGCCATACAACCTCGGAGCAAGCAGTAGACATGGATCGATATTCAGCCTCTGTTGAAGATTTTGACACACGATCTTGCTTTTTACTCTTCCAAGATATCAATGACTCTCCAAGAAACATGCACCAACCAGAGACTGAACGACGAGTATCAGGACATCCCGCCCAATCAGAATCACTAAAAGCATTAAGACGAATAGGAGAACCACTTGGAAAGAACAATCCACGAGTAGATGTTCCTAGAAGGTACCGAATGATGCGACGAACAGCCACCAAGTGGAGATGACGGGGAGCTTGCATAAATTGACTAACTTGTTGAACTGCAAAAGAGATATCAGGCCGAGTAATAGTAAGGTAATTTAGACTCCCAACTAATTGTCGAAATATAGTTGGATCAGGAAGAAGATCGCCTTCCTCACGACGATACTTGACATTTATTTCCAGTGGAGTATCTACGGAGGAGGAAACTTGAAGACCAGCCAAAGAAATCAGATCCTGAGTATATTTGTGTTGGTTTAGAAATACACCTGAAGCAACATTATGAACTTCCAAACCCAAAAAATAAGTAAGAGTACCAAGATCTGTCATATGAAAAGAATCTTTAAGCTGCTGTTGGAGGCAAGTGATTAGTGAAGAATCAGTTCCTGTGATAATAATGTCATCTACATACACCAAAAGAAGAACACAACCTGTAGATGTTTTCCGAAGAAACAAAGATGAGTCATATTTGCTCTGCTCAAAAGAAAATTGTAGCAAAGTAGACCGGAACTTATCAAACCAAGCTCTTGGAGCTTGTTTTAATCCATACAAAGACCGCTTCAACTTGCATACATCTGATGTAGGCGATGAGAATAAACCAGGTGGAGGTTTCATATAAATATCTTCTTTAAGATCACCATGGAGAAAAGCATTTTTGACATCCATTTGATAAAGAGACCAGTTTTGTGAAGCAGCAATGGCAATAATAGTTCGTACCGTAGTCATTTTGGCTACGGGTGCAAAAGTCTCCTCATAGTCCACACCATGCTCCTGTCTGTTCTCAAGAACATCCAATC